AATGAATGAATGAATGAATGAATGAATGAATGAATGAAAGATTGACAGAATGATTGACTGAATGAATGAATGAATGAATGAATGAATGAATGAATGAATGAATGAATGAATGAATAAATGAATGAATGACTGAATGAATGAATGAATGAATGAATGAATGATTGACTGAATGAATGAATGAATGAATGAATGAATGACCGAATGAATGAATGAATGATTGACTGAATAAATAAATGAATGAATGAATGAATGAATGAATGACTGAATGAATGAATGAATGAATGAATGAATGAATGAATGAATGAATGACTGAATGAATGAATGAATGAATGAATGAATGAATGACCAAATGAATGAATGAATGATTGACTGAATGAATGAATGAATGAATGAATGAATGACCAAATGAATGAGTGAATGAATGAATGAATGAATGAATGAATGAATGAATAGCTCTCCTGTTCTGAGATGAGACACTGTGATACAGAACTCACCGCTGTCCTTCACCTTCTCTTCTACCTTCACCACAGGGTTTGTGTAGTTGTCACACCACACCTCCTGTTGCAGGACGGCCACTGATGTCAGAGGTCTCTGCAGGACAAGAGAAAGAGGTGAGCCTGTTGATCATGTGAGCTTTAAAGGAGACCTAAATGACTATTTATACAGGAAGTAAAATCCATCTGTAGTGTGTGTGTGTGTGTGTGTGTGTGTGTGTGTGTGACTGTCGCTTTAAATTCAAATGAGATTGTGCTCTTTTCAGAGGAGGGCGGAGCTACAGTAGGCTGTAAAACAGCAGTGTGTGTGTTGACAGTGTTGGTCAGGTGTGAGTGTGTGTTGATGCTTATGTCAGTCTATGTCGCTCCTGCTTCATCTGGAACTCCACATCTATAATCCTCTTAGTCTATGCTGACATCATCTTCAGCAGCTCAAACACTCTAATGGCTAATGGACAGACGGCTGCTTCTCACTCAGGGCTGCTGCTTATGCTAATGAGATGGAGAGATGGGCACTAGTGGGCGGGGCTTTTCCCCTTTGATGACACGTACAAAAGGGAGAATGTCAATCACAGTGTTTCTGCATCAAGTCTGATTATAAAAGTGACTCACCCGGCTCTTGAAAACCACACCGGCCCTGCGGATCTGCGGTTGTTCTAGGTCTGCAGACATCACCGTTTTCATTGGCCTGCAATCAAAACCACTCAGCTTTACATCCTATTTAGATCCAACAACCCAGAACACAAACATCTGATTTTAGATTCTACTTTCATCCCACAAACCAATCAAAATGCTTGATTTCATTCAGAATTATCTCTGGGTTTATCTCAAGGCATTTTCCTTCAGCTTAGCCCCTTTATTCATCAGGGGTTGCCACAGTGGAATGAACCACCAACTATTCCAGCACATGTTTTACACAGTGAATGTGCTTCCAACTGCAACCCGGCACTGGGAAACACCCATACACACTCATTCACACACACACTCATACACTACGGCCAGTGTAGTTGATCAGTTCCCCTATAGCGCATGTGTTTGGACTGTGGGGGAAACCGGAGCACCCGGAGGAAACCCACACCAACACGGGGAGAACATGCAAACTCCACACAGAAACACCAACTGACCCAGCCGAGACTCGAACCAGAGACCAGAGAGGCCACTGTGCACTAATATGTATAAAGGTTTTAATGTTTAAAATAAATAGTAGAAGGTTAAATTCCTCCCCTGAGAACACACATCCAGATGCTGCAAAGCCTGAATAATCCCTCAAACTCTCACAGGAGTGTTCACTTCAGACACATACTTTTTCTTCTTTAAGGTGACGATCAGAAAGCAGGGGGTCCCAGGCTGCACAGCATCACTGATGTTCAATGCTGACGTGTTCCACACACACGTGACGCTGTGTGTGAAATTATTCTGACACGCCAAACCTGCGGAAACACACACACAAACACACACACACACCTGAGAAATGCAGCCTTATATTTAAAGCCCTTCAACATGTCTTTCTGCATATATTCAGTGCCCTTTAAGGACTTCTTTGCTCAAAAAGTGTCATTTAAATTGAATAAAGCATCCATTTTTGACCCATGGCAAACCAGCACGTGTTGGAGTGTATGCTCAACACAAACACACAAGTGCACACCTGTCAACCCTCCCGTCATTTCTGGGATTCTCCTGTATTTTACAGTTCTCTCCTGCTTTCACCCCGTAAAGGTATTTCCCA